TGCCGTTTGGCCTCCCCAACATGTCTCTCTTGAGAGCCTCATGGTCACAAAACGCTGCCAGGGGCATCATTTGGGAGCCCCAAGGGGGAGCCACCCTGGCTGATATCACGAGCCCGTTCGCGCCGATTTTGGTGGGACGTCTCAGCTAAAATTGCCGTTTGGCCTCCCCAACATGTCTCTCTTGAGAGCCTCATGGTCACAAAACGCTGCCAGGGGCATCATTTGGGAGCCCCAAGGGGGAGCCACCCTGGCTGATCTCACGAGCCCGTTCGCGCCGATTTTGGTGGGACGTCTCAGCTAAATTGCCGTTTGGCCTCCCCAACATGTCTCTCTTGAGAGCCTCATGGTCACAAAACGCTGCCAGGGGCATCATTTGGGAGCCCCAAGGGGGAGCCACCCTGGCTGATCTCACGAGCCCGTTCGCGCCGATTTTGGTGGGACGTCTCAGCTAAAATTGCCGTTTGGCCTCCCCAACATGTCTCTCTTGAGAGCCTCATGGTCACAAAACGCTGCCAGGGGCATCATTGGGAGCCCCAAGGGGGAGCCACCCTGGCTGATCTCACGAGCCCGTTCGCGCCGATTTTGGTGGGACGTCTCAGCTAGAATTGCCGTTTGGCTCCCCAACATGTATCTCTTGAGAGCCTCATGGTCACAAAACGCTGCCAGGGGCATCATTTGGGAGCCCCAAGGGGGAGCCACCCTGGCTGATCTCACGAGCCCGTTCGCGCCGATTTTGGTGGGACGTCTCAGCTAGAATTGCCGTTTGGCGCCCCCAACATGTATCTCTTGAGAGCCTCATGGTCACAAAACGCTGCCAGGGGCATCATTTGGGAGCCCCAGGGGGGGTCCACCAGGGGCTTCATAGTCACCAAACGCTGCCAGGGGCAGCATTTTGGCTTCCCAAAGAGGAGTCGACCCGGGCCTCCTAGTCGCCAGAGAGAGAGAGAGAGAGAGAGAGAGAGAGAGGGAAGAGAGAGAGAGAGAGAGAGGAAGCGAGAGAGAGGGAGAGGAGAGAGAGAGAGAGAGAGAGCGGAGAGAGAGAGAGGGGGAGTTGAGAGAGGAGACAGGCGAGAGAAAGAGAGAAGAGAGAAGAGAGAGAGAGAGAGAGAAGAGAGAAGAGAGAGAGAGAGAGAGAGAGAGAGAGATAGAGATAGAAGAGAGAGAGAGAGAGAGAGAGGAGAGAGAGAGAGAGAGAGAAAGGGAGAGAGAGGGGGGGGGAGAGAGAGAGAGAGAGAGAGAGGAGAGAGAGAGAGAGAGAGAGAGAAGCGAGAGAGAGAGAGAGAGAGAGATAGAGAGAGAGAGAGAGAGAGAGAGAGAGAGAGAGAGAGAGAGAGAGAGAGAGAGAGAGAGAGCGAGAGACGAGAGAGAGAGAGAGAGAGAGAGAGCAGAGAGAGAGAGAGAGCGGGAGAGAGCGAGGGAGAGCGAGAGAGAGCGAGAGAGAGCGAGTGAGAGCGAGAGAGAGAGAGAGAGAGCGAGAGAGAGCGACAGAGAGCGAGAGAGAGCAAGAGAGAGCGAGAGAGCGAAAGAGAGAGAGAGAGAGAGAGAAGAGAGAGAGAGAGATAGAGAGAGAGAAAGAGAGAGAGAAAGAGAGAGAGAGAGAGAGAGATAGAGAGAGAGAGAGAAGAGAAGAGAAGAGAGAGAGCGAGAGAGAGAGAGAGAGAGGGAGAGTGAGAGAGAGAGGAGAGAGCAGAGAGAGAATAGAGAGAGAGAGAGAGAGAGAGAGAGAGAGAGAGAGGCAGAGATAGAGGCAGAGAGAGAGAGGCACAGAGAGAGAGGCAGAGAGAGAGAGAGAGAGGCAGAGAGAGAGAGGCAGAGAGAGAGGCAGAGAGAGAGAGAGAGAGGCAGGGAAAGAGAGGCAGAGACAGAGAGAGGGCAGAGAGAGAGAGAGACAGAGAGAGCAGAGAGAGCAGAGAGAGAGGCAGCTCAGTCACACTTAAATCCAGATTCGTCCTCACCGAGTCCCACCACCAAGGGAGCGCCAGCAAGGAGATGCACATATGGGGATCCCCACGCAGTGAATAATTTTTTTCTTCCGGGACGCGCGGCTCCGTCCATGAGCGGGCGGATCCGTGCCGTGAGATGTATGCTGGTTGAAGTTTCTAGACGTACATCGGCGTCCCAGGCGTCTTTCCATGCCGCGGGGAAATTCTGGCCGACGTCGGCGCGCTTTTCGTCGTAGGCGGTCCGCGACCCCGGGTTCAATGCGCGGGGCTGCAAAGGCCTTTTCTGATGGCCGGGGGGCAGTGCAGGAGGGTCGACACGGCGTTGATTTCATAATGTAGAGTGGGTGCCGAGGGGGGGGGGGCTTGTTGCGACGCCGATGATCATGAACACCTCTTCAGCAACGAACGAGCATTTCACATTGGAGGTAGCGCCCACCTCGTTGGAGTATCGAGGCCGGCGTTTGGGTAAGCGACAGCAGATCGTCACCAGGCCCGCTCGGCGCGCCCAGGCCGCCGCGGCGTTGTCTGCTGAGCTCTCGGTGGGCGGCGGGCCTCAGCGCGGCTGCGCGGGGGGCTGGCTGCCCATGCCAGCCCCTGGGCGAGGATCTCCTCGCCCGACTGCGACGCTCTTCTTCCTGGCACTGTGGTGGGAGAAGGAGCTTGGAAAAGCCTTCTGCGCGATCGACGTCGCGATGTTGCGACGGCGGCCTCATTCTTGCGCCGTCCCTCCCCCGAGGGGTATGTCGCTGCAGCTTTAGTGGGGGAGGAGGCGCAACCGGGTGAGCAGGAGGGCGGGCTCATGTGGGTATGTGGGTTTTGTTTTCGCAGCGCTGGGGCAGAGGCTCAGCTGCAGCGCGGTGCGAGTATCTGGGATACAAAGGCTGCTCTGAACCACCCTACGCCTTCATCATAATTATGGTTCCGTGGGGAACTGTTTTGCAATTCAAATCACTGCCCGAATTGTATGGAATTGTTTTGCAGCGTTATTGCAGCTAGACAGTTGGTTGGTCGCATGAAAGGGGGATCTTGCTGCTACACTCGCGGCGGACTCACCCAGGGCCCCCCTCATGATCTAGGGGACTTATGTGGTTCATTGTGCGAGTACCACGCCTCGGATCTATATGACTTCAGAAGCATGCTCGTATCTTTTCCCTCGGGCAAAACGTGCGTGCGACCGAACCAGACAATATTACATCGACGAGTGCGATGTCGCGCCCCGCTTGGATGGCGTCGCAGGGCGACGTTCCTCCACCGACGAAGTCGGCCAAGAACGGAGACGGTGGCGCAGGAGGCGATGACGCATTTAAGCAGAAGGGCGCCGCCGCTCGCAAGCAGTTCATAGACGAGCTGGTCGTCGTGCTGGCCAAGCTGGCGCTCGCCGGCGAGGCGGAGCTGCGGGCGCTCATCGGCGCCGTCTACGACACGTGGTTGGCGCCGCTCGATTCGAAAGTGGTGGAACGGATGTTCGAGGAGAACCAGGCATTCAACGCGGAGGCCCAGCAGGAGAGGGGGAAGGAGAAGCAGGCCCAGAAGGAAAACAACACGTCCAACACCAAGAAGAAGCGCTGTCCGCCGCACCTTCTGGCCTTCGCGGCCAGGGTGGAGTGGGGCGCGGACCTCGGGGGCTGGACGGAGCTCCCGCCGGATCGCATCGCCCTGAAGAGGTATCGGGAGAGGGCGGTGCGCTCGATGCGGTGCCCCGAGGAGCCGTCAGATATTGTTCGTCATTGCAGGATCCGGCGTCTCGAGAGCAAGCACGGGACGGCTGGCTCGGAGATGGCCGAGGCGCAGTTCCCCGCGAGCGGCGGGCTCCCGACGGCGGGGGGGTCCTTCTCCAGGGGCTCCGCGCGTCGCCGAAGGCGCAGAGGGCGGGGTCGAGAGGCCGTCGGCGCGCCCCCGAGGCGCGTTTGTGAGGACGGGCGCAGGGGTGCCTCGACGCGGCGACGTAGGGGAGGAGGAGGAGGAGGAGGAGGAGGAGGAGGAGGAGGCCCCAGTGCCCGTGCTCGTGCTGCGTCGGCTGGTGGCGCCGTCCACAGGAGGCTCGGCGAGAGAGCACGGGCGCTGCTGGCGGCAGGGCTCTCGTCTGAGCACGTTGCCAGGCGCGTGCGCTGGGTCGGCCGGCCGTGCAGTGCCCATTCTCCTCACTCCTCCTGGTGGTCTCCCCTCCTGGCCTTGAGCCCCCGCCTCACCTCCACCCCGCAGTGCGCTTTCTGGCCTTGAGCCCCCGCCTCACCTCCACCCCACAGTGGTCTCCCCTCCTGGCCTTGAGCCCCCGCCCCCTCCTCTGGTGGCCTCCCCTCCTGGCCTTGAGCCCGCGAAGCTGGGCCAGCGGTGGAGCTTCCTAGGCCCCCCGCCCGCCGGGGCAGGGGAGCTGCCAGGGGGCAGGGTTCCAGGTGGAGAGCGCTGGGAAAGGAGGGGGACTGCAGTTCCCTTGTGGGCTGCTCTTCCTCCCTTCGCCGTCCTCGCCTGGGTCCATCCCTTTGCTATGAAGCTGCGCGCCTCCCCAGGCAAGGTTCTCTCCCAGGGGATGGTGCTGACGGTGGCAGCCACAGGCTGCGCGCCGCAGGCTACGCAACCATGCCCGTGCCAGCCCACAGCGGCGCTGGCCTGCACGCTTGTGTGTATCGTTCTGCCGAGCAATGCTCGAACCGAGGCGTTCCCGCTTCAGGCCCGCTGGCGAGATTTCGGGCGCCCCAGGGTTATTCCTATTCCTCTTACTCCTCCTCCTCTTCCTCCTCTCCCTCCTCCTCCTCCTCCTCCTCTTCCTCCTCCTCTTCTTCTCCCTCCTGCTCCTCCTCCTGAGGAGGAGTAGCGAGAAGGAGGATGAGGAGGAGGACCTCCTTCTGATCTTCCTTCTTAAGATTCTCCTCTGCCTTCTCTTCCGCCACCTCCTCTGATCCTCGCGCACCGTCCTCATTCCCCCTGGCCTCCTGCCCGTCCCCCTCCAGGAGCCCTCCTCCTCGCCCTCCCTCGCCCCTTCAACAGGCCACGAGGGCGATCCGCCAGCCACGCCAGCCGCTCCTCTCCCTCCTCGGCCCTCCTCGGCAGGTGGCCGACACCTTGCTGAGCAACCTCAGGGTGAACAGGGAGAGCTGGGCTGCACTGGTGAAGCAGCACGGGCACGTGACTGCGGGCAAGATGGCCTCCTTGGAGGACGAGGCCGAGGACGACGGGCGGGAGACGGTGGAGCAGCGCGCCGGCGGTGAGGACGAGGCGGCCGGGCGGCCAGGGGGAGGGCCGCCCGACGTCAGGGACGCCTGGAGGACGCCTCGATGACGTGATGACTCCGAGCCGGCCGCCCTGCGAGCGCCAGGCCTGAGGTGAAGGTCAGACCTTGGGGCGACGACGGGGGAAACGTAGGACTCTGGTGCGCGCCAGAACTCGGGTTTGCCGCCGCTTGCTGCCGAGCGCGTCCTGGATTCTGACGGTCCGGTTTTCGTGGGGTGTCTGCAGCGGGAGCTCGCGTCAAATTACAGACCGGGTCTCGTCATTCTCATGATGGCCCCGTCGGGCGAACCCCCGAGTCCCCCGAGCACGAGTCTTACTCAAGCAGTGACGAAGCGTCGGGGATCGCACATAGGCCCACCAAAGAATGCTCTAGGATCCTCTTGTGGTCTGCGCGGCATGGGCTTAGAACAACCTGTCTGGTTGAGACGGTCCTGTTTTGACACATCGGCGTTGCACTGTTGATTGTTCTTAGAGCAGCTCTGGGTTCTGAGAACATGTCGTGGTAGGCCTATATAGGAATGCCAGGACGGCCGGCCGCTGCTCCACCCGAGTCCCCCGACGAGTCTTACTCAGGAGGGGAAGAAACGCACAGACACAATTAATCGTCCATCCCCAGGAAAATATGGGAAAGCATGGGCAGTGGGGGGGAAGACGAAAACCCAGTAAATGTGAAAAAATATGGGGGATCTTTTTCTCTGTGTGTATATATTTGTGTGTCCCAGGGCCCCTTTCACTCACGTCTCCCCAGTCTGCGCCTGGCGTGCTCCAGGAAGGGCCCCGCCTCCGAGAGGCACATCGAGGCCAGCGGCGCGCCCCCTCCCTCGGCGGGAGCGGCGGGCGGAGGGCGGCGGCAGCAGAGACGATCGGGCGCCTCGTCCGGCGGACTCCCGCGGAAGCCAGCCGGAAACAATGATCGAGCCAGGAAAAAAACGCATAAACGTAAACTTTTGGCGCTCCGCGCGGATTTCTTGGATGCGCGCTGGGCCCCCCTTGGCGGCGCCTCCGGCGCCGCCCCTGGCGCGCTCCGCGCGCCAGGGAGGTGGGTCCAGTGCCAGGGTGGCGGAAGCAAGACGATTGGGCGCCTCGTCCAGCGGACTCCCGCGGAAGCCAGCCGGAATCAGTTCTTCCAGGCCTGCAGGGATGACAGCTCGGCGGCGAGCCTGGGGGGGAAGCGAAAAGAAGAAGGCCTTCTCGGAAGTCTCGGGAGGCCCCGGCCTTCCAAGAAGTTCTCGGAGCCTTCCCCGGAGACGCAGAAAACTTCTCAGAAGGCCGGAGCGCTTCTGAGAGGTCCCGCCGCCTTCTGAAAAGGCCTCCTCCTTCTCACTTCCCCCCCTCGCTCGCCGCTGACAGCGGGAATCGATTCTGAGCCCTTCAGGGATGACAACATTCTTGGGCTCCGCCCTGCTTGCCTCCAGGGTGCCCTGGGTTTCTCGGGCTTCGAGGGTTGTGCCGTGGAAAGCGTGGCGTGCCCACACCAAAAGTCGATGGACGTCCTGGGGTCTCAGGTTCGGGCTTCTTGCGGAAAGGCTTCCTGTGGTGGGGCCCCTTTATACTGTATGTGTAGATCTCGCCGCCCCATGCCTGGTGACGCGCCCGAGGGGGTGGGGCGCGGAGGGCGGCACGTGGCGGCCCCCGAAGGGCCCAGAGGCATCTCCGCAGGCCTGCTGTCGTGAGGCTTCCGAGAGGCGCCGTTCCAGAGCTTTCCAGGACGCCCTTGAGAAGGCCGCGGCGCCCGAGACATCCCTCCGAGCCGCCGGGTATCATATATCTTTGACTTCTCCTCGCACGATGTGATCCTCGTCGTGGCTTTGTCACAGAGCTGCCGCCGCCCCCCGTTTGAAGCAGTGGCGAAGCGTCCCGGCTTGCCGATAGGCCCACCAAATAATGTTCCAAAAACCTTGGTGGTCTGCGCGACTCTTAGAACCTTTCTCGTCGAGACTGTCTTGTGCCGACACATCGGGTCTACGTTCTATGAACATTGCTCTTGTGATTCGAACACCTCTGGGCTCTCAGAACACGCCTTGGTAGGTCCACAGGAATGCTGGGCCGGTCGGTCCCTGTTCAATTGTTATCCTCGTCATGGTTTCGTCTTACATCGGCCACACGCAGAGGTGGGGGAGGGGGGAAGGCTTCTTAGAAGCACCCCGTGCTCCTTAGAAGCGGCGGGCCTTGTCTGTACATGTAAGGCCGGCGCCTTCTAAGGAGCAGTCTCCTTCTAAGATCGACTACACGTAAGAGTGACCTTTCGCCGGAGTGACCTCTGGTGCGGGGACAGTGGGGCCCCCCGATCGCCGAACGCGATGCGACAGCAGCGCCTTGCGCGCCCGTGTTTGGCCACCCCGCGGGCCCCCCCCACAAGCCGCGCACCAAAGGCCCCTCTTGCCAAGGGTCGCTCTTGCGTGCAGCCGATAGGAAGCCTTCCCCCTCCGCCATACCCCCCTCTGCGCGCCACTTGTTAAAGCTGCCGCCCCCCCCCGTTCGCTCGGATGCAACTCCTGGGAGGTCAAATTCTGATTTTGCCCTGGTCCGAAGTCCGGCTAAATCCGGCTTGATTCCGCTTAATCCAGCTTAATCCCGCCTAATCCCGCTTAATCCGGCTGAATCCTGCGTAACAGCTCCCAAATGGGGCTTAATTCCGCTTAATCCAGCTCAGTGCGAGGCCCACTCCGGCGTAACAGCTCCCAAACGGGGCTAAATCCTTTTTAATCTTTCCGACGAAAACCTCCCAGTAGTTGCCTCCTAACGTTCGCTGCCCCCCCCCCCCCGGGCGCACGAGCGCCTCCGCCCCGCCCCGCGCGGGGCGCCTCGGCCCGCCGCGGGAGCGGGCACCTCGGGCCTGGGTCCGTGCCGCGGCGCTGCTGTGGGCCGCTGCTGCGTGCGCCTCGGGGGGCGGGCCCGCCAGGCTGCGTGGCATCCCTCGGGGGGCCTCCTCCTCCTCCTCCTCCTCCTCCTCCTCCTCCTGCTCCTCCTCCTCCTCCTCCTCCTCCTCCTCCTCCTCCTCCTCCTCCTCCTCCTCCTCCTCCTCCTCCTCCTCCCCCACCTCCCCGACTGGCCCTCGGAACCCCGAAGATGACCGCTCCGGGCCGCCAGGCTCCGCTCCGGGAGCGCCCGGGGCCTCGCTTGCCCCCCAAAGGAATTCGCGTCGCTGCTCGTGCCCGACGCGGGCTCGATGCGGCTTCGACGCGGATCCTGCGCGGGTTCGACGCGGGCTCGGCACGCATCCGACGAGGCCGACACGGGCTCGGCGCGGATGCGACGCGGACAGGGCCGTGACGGGACAGGCGAGGTCCCCCGAGGGTGCAACGTAAGCCGCGGGGTGGGCCCGCCCCGTCGCGGAGCGCAGCGGGAGAGACTGGCCGTCATCTTCGTCACTGTCACTCGCTCCCAGATCTTCGACGGCCTCAGGTTTGCTGATGGGCCCATTTTCCACCACCACGACCATAGGTAGGAGGAGGAGGAGGAGGAGGAGGAGGAGGAGGAGGAGGAGGAGGAGGAGGAGGAGGAGGAGGACCTCCTCCCCCCTTCTCCCCCGTCCTACATGTGGTAGCGGTGGTGGAGAATTTGCCCGTCGTTTGCAGCCAGCGTGTTCTCTCTCTTTTTTGATGCCGGCCTCGTGGGGCCCGCCGTCGAGCGCCGGGGCCAACAGAGAGCTGGAGCTGCACGGGAGGCAGAAGCCATCCCCGGGGAGAGCGGTCGGGACCTCCCCCATGGGGCCGCGGCCCGGAAACAGGATATCTCGAAGAGAAGAAGAAGACGAAGCAGAAGAAGAAGAAGACGACGAAGAAGAAGAAGAAGAAGAATTTTCGGCGCTCCGCGCGGTTCTCTCGGATCCGCGCTGGGCCCCCCCCCCCCGGCTGCGCCTCTGGCGCCGCCGCTGGCGCGCTCCGCGCGCCAGGGAGGGGGGTCCAGCGCAGATCCAGCAGCTCCGCGCGGAGCGCCAACGGTTTCTGTTTATGGCGCTTTTTCTTCTTCTCACACCTGGGGTGGACAGGGTTCGGAGGTTGAGAGGAAACTCCCACCCTGCCAAGGCGATCGGCGAGCTGCCCTTTCTACCGGCCCTCGAGAGGGCGTCGCGGCCGCAGCGGTGGCGGGCCTGCGCCCGCCGGGGAGTCTGGCCCCGGGTCGTTTTCACGAAGAGCGTTTTTCGCTAACGGGGACTTCGTCCACCCACGAATCGTCTTGTTCGCCATCGTCGCGAGCATCACCACCACCGCCACCAGCATCATCCGCATCGTCATGCTCGCCGTCGTCAGAGTCGTGCGCCAGCGATGGCCATGACGACTTTCTCGAGTATGGGGCACTCTCGCCGAGGTAGGCCTCACGGCCGATGCCGCCGACTATCTGAAGGCGGGACCTCCGCCAGGATCCCCGCTGGCGACCCCCCGCCGGGGCCCGCCTGGACCCCGGGGGAATTCTGACCCGGGACCCCCCCCCCCTTTCCCCCCTTCCCCCCCCCCCTCCCCGGCAGGGGAGGGAGAAAGGGAAGGGGCTTCTTCTTTTCCCTAGTTTTCCAATCCCCTTGAGATTGACGACGGCGACGATGACGGCGACGACAGCGTCTTCCACACGCCGAAGGGTCGGTGTATTTTCAGGCGGCTTCTTGGCAAGGTCGCATGTTCGCAAGCAGGCGTTGCATTTGGGGATCGTAGCGGTCGCCACCACCATGAGTCAGGCAATGCGCGTGAGACACCACGGCGCACAGCACGGGCTTCCGCTGCTGAGACTTTTGTTTTGGAGTGGATTCCAACAAGTCTCTCGCAAGTAGTTGCTCATCAGGTTTGACGCAGGGTGGCCTCTGGATGCTGGTCCACGCTGCTATCACTTGCGCAGTGTGGTATTGCCATGCGCATTTTGTCCTGCACAGTATATCGCACGGCGGTTGGACTTGTCACTCGGAAGGTGACGGATTTATCAGTCGTGTCTTGTTGTTGCGATGAAGCTCGTTGGAAGATACTCCCTGCGCCCACAGTGGCTAAACGACTTCTTGGTGCCGTGCTCTCGCGCTGCACAGTACGCGCTTACCCCAACTGCTTCAGGCCCTGATTAGGACCCGGCGCCCGAAACGCGTCGCCAGCAAACAATGGTTGAGTTCGGTACAACACCAACGCGTACAGTCTTCAGGATCTGTCCAGGAACAGGCTCTTGTCACCAGCAAGGATCATAGGCGTGGGCCGACGTTCGGCCAGGCACTGCATTCTATCCAGGTGGCCAAGGGTCAGTCTCTGCCGGCCTCATGTCCTTGGGCTTGCGCACCGCAGTCTTCGTGGTGATCCGCAGACGAAGGCACGGGCTACCCTTAAGTCGGGCGTGTCCCCCTACAGGGGGATTTTCGACGAAAAATAAGAATACCCAACAAATGCCCCAAGATGATCAAAAAATATTCAAAAAATAGTCCCCAGACTATTTTTTCATTACTGTTTGATTATTGTTGGGGTATTTTGCATTTGTCGTCGAATATCCCCCTGTAGGGGGACAGGCCCGACTTAGTGCTACCCTTACTTTGAAGACAGACCAGGGCGCTCTGCACCTCGTGGGGTATTGCCAGCCGTTCCCTCGTCCCGCCCGAGCGGGGACACAGTCGCGAAGGAGCTCTGCGCGTGCCTGAGCGATTGCGGCCTTCGGCGTGCCGCTGCGGGCTGCACACCCGTGGGGCCCCATGGTGGCGTGCATCAGCCGATCCTCTCGCAGAGTATACTGCGAGGATCGATTCGCACTGGCAGTCGCGAGCCCATCCTCAACAGATCCACCAGGCCTTTCCAGCTGGAGCGCGGGAGCTCAAATTATGTTGGAGGCCTCTTCGCTTATCCGTGTCTCTTCGTGTTCTCACAGTGCCTGCTTTCTGGGGGCAGTTCAGGCTCCAATCCCTTCAAACAGATTTGCACAGCTATCTACACCGTAGAAGTTGAGGCCCGCCTCGCGAGATGCTCGCTCGCCAAAGTTTGCAGTGCCAAAGATATGAACAGCAGTTGGGTTGCGAGGCAGGTTCCGCGCAATGTGTGCTCGAGTGTTGCACGAGTCTTTAAAGGCGTGTGTTTACTTGCAGCGTGAACTCACAAGGTTTTCGCAGGTTCGGTTTTCTTTTCAGGCTCCCTGGCAGGCCAAGGCATTGCTTGAGGCTTGGAGTAGCCACTAAACAGAATGCGTGCACACCTGACCGCGCTGCACTGGCTTGGTGTTGTTTCAGTATGTCGTTTCTCAATTTTCTGCCCTCTACCCAGTAATTTCAAGGAGACGCTGCACATGCACCCTTGTCATGCTTTTCCCACTGGCGACACTTGACCCACCACATTGGGCGGTGGCTGGATTTTATTTACGTGCTTCGGCGGAATAGTATCGCTTTGAACGGCTCCCCACCAGAATCTGTGGATATATGCCAGATACCGAACACTCATATGACGATTGTCGTTAACGTTGCAAATTCGTTGGGTGAGCTTGATCATATCTCTGGATACGCTGACGTCTAGGGGTTCCGCTATCTCGTCGGTATTCCTTTCTATGCACAGACGGTCCTGCGCACGACCGGTCGGATCCGTGTGGTCACATTCTGGCGTAATTCACGTTTGGTCGTGAATGAACAGGTGGTCGTGCTATCCCATGTTGGCTCGGTATGAATTCCATGCCAGAGCAAGGCTGGAAATAATTGTTGTTGCGAGAGCTTAAGCATTTGGGAATATGATGTGTCCGATGTCTGTGATTTGATTTGTTGCCCGCGTGCCACGCGAAGCAACCTGCTGCAGCGTCCGTGATGCGAGCGCGAGTTCTACGTACAATCGGTTCCCCCCGTACTCGCAACCGTCTTTCAGCCGCCCCCGACGTTGCAACAAAAAGACCGATGTCAAGACCTGCTGCCGCGTGGAACGCGGCGGAACTCATCGTCTGGCCGCCAAGCCGAACAGCGAATGCATGAGCTGCATGCCCTGGCAGTCGGCCCATGACGGGGGGAACGGGCGCAGGCCCGCACGCCTCGACGCGCCGACCGTTCTTCATACGAGGCGCCTTCCCTCCCGACAAAGAAGAAAACGGTCGCTCACATCTGGCCAAGTTTTGTTACCCGTCGGCCGTGGCAAAAACACCGCCCACAGCGTGTTCGAATACGGCGGCCCGTCGAAGTGAATACGCATCTGCATCCTATCGCATGCCAGCGTCCCCGTTCGCGTAGACAGGCAAGGTTGTTTCAAGATGCTCCTGAGGTGCCACCCAGTACGGAACTTTGGCTTGCCATCCATGTTCGCTATCTCGCAGTCGTGGACGATTTGCAGCAATTCGTCTCTGCATGGAAAGGAGTTGAGAACAGCATGGCGTTTTTTTTAGCCGCTCCAGGAAACTGGCTCGGAGGAAAGGTCGTGTGGAATTTTTCCCAAGGATACCAAATCCAGTATGGGCGGTCTCGTTGTGAATGTAGTGCCTTTTCTCACTGTTCGGGAATATTCCTTTTCTGAGGCTTCCGATTGGCCACATGCGGCAGGGGCTATGCCACGGCAGTTAGGTTCGGAAGGTTTGTGCGCACACATGATTTCCACATTGGTTGACAATCACGGTTGCGTTTCCTCATTTGCGTGAGTACTAAGACTTTAGTTGTCCTATCAGCAAAGTTATCCCATTTGCCGCTGCACTCATCATTTGTGTGATTCCCCGCGCTCGCCCGCAGTGCTGGATTCATGGTGGGGCCCAGACCGTTGTCCGCCACGATGTTGACAGGGACCATGTACGCGGCATGGGACTGCTTCGCTTTGCTTCTCACTGATTAATGGCATCCCTTCCCTGTTTTTCTCCGTGTTCGTGAGCATTGCATGTCGATGCTGTCGTCTGCATGTATGAGGTATTTTGATGGAGGGGCCGAAATATACACAAATGCGCAGGTTCCCCAAACGATGCTTGCACTATGCAGTTCTTCCTTACTTCTCCGCGTAAGTGGTTGGGTTTGCCCGGGTTTCGCCCGTGGGAGTTTCGTGTGCGCCTCGTGTGGGAGGGTCTGCCAGCGAAGGTTCGCCCAGTGGGCGACCGTGGGGCGCGTCGTGGGTGCCTCGTATGGTTGGATTTGCCGAGCTTTCGCCCGGTAGGCACCCGTTATTATAACAAATTTTGTAGTTTGCATCACATAGCGGTCACCACAGATTGCATCGCATGGACTGTACGACATAGTGTGCACCCACAGTTTGCACCACATAGGGTGCACCACATAGCCTGCACCACATAGGCTACTCCAGTCAGGTTGCACCACACAGCTTTCGCAACAGAGCTTGCACCACATAGCTTGCACCCAACAGCACGCATCACATATATTGTACTTATTTGCATCAAACATTGCTCCTCATACTTTGCCCATGCTGCATTTTACATATTGCACCAGGCTGCTTGTAACACATTGCTTGCACATGTTCCTTTACGTGGTTGGCACCACATAGGTTGCACTTTCACATGTCTTACACATCCAGCGTGCACTCGTTCATTGCTTGTGGCACATGCTTGTAAATATTTGCATGTGGCCGCTATTCGGAGCAATGCTTCTGCAGTCATGCGAGTCCGTTTCATGCCGCACACGCGTTGCCTCGCTCGCGCCGCGCAGTTGTTGTTGCGTTCATATGTGTGGTCGGTTCTTCATTGTGGGCAGGAGGGGATCTGGTGGGGCATGGCCGCGGCGCTGGCGAAGCGGACCCCCCGCGAAACGAACCCTAGGCGCAGAGAACCCTTGGCCCAGCGCACCCCAGGCGAAGCGAAAGCCGCACCGACGAAGACACTGACGACACCGACGAAGGCAT